AAGAGTTACAGCTTTCTTTTCTTCTCTGTCGTAATGTATGATTTGTATAGCAACATTTAATCTGAATTAGGGATGGGGCAATACACAACTTTATTATTGGGATAAAAAACACAAGTTGATTGTGGTGAATTTCCATTATCAGAAAAATTGTGAACATCGTGTCAGATATATCACAACATTTTTGTGACTATAGGTGTGTGACACTGTAGGGTTGACTATTGGTGCTTCAAAAAATTTGACACAGTAGATTTTTGATAAATAATTGTCAGTACTGTAGATATGATCACTAAGTGGCCAAAGGCAAATAACAGGGTGTCCACAGGTATCAGACGGTTAAATTTAATGCTTTCTAAAGACACCTAACCAAATTTAGGACAGAATTTTGGACAAATCATGCTTTACTTATTCAAACATTGCAGGTAAGCAATGAAGGCAAGTTGTATATATGTGGTCTTGTGCAGAGTTATGTGTTATGTAGGAATATGAGAGTTATTATAGTGAATTAAGTCAATCTACGTTTTGCCAACAGGTAAGTAGGGAAAATGACAGTATTATAGTTTTTTGAAAAATTGTAACATTAGAAATATGGATTTAAACATAGAAAGGCTTCACTCATTTTCATAAAAATATATTTAAAAATGGATAGATGAAATGTTTGTGGTAGTTAAAACCTCAAACATTCAAATTTAAGACTATTAATTGGTGTTTAATGCCTATTATTAAGGCTTACTTGTAACATTGAACTTGAGACATTTAAGACTTTTTAAGGACCTGAATAACAGTTTGGTAAATTCAGAAAATTACATCACTTTACTGTAATGTCCTTAAACCCAGAAAAAAAATACTTACAATATTACCATTTATAAAATCTAAAATGATATCTGGTGTCACAATGTCAATATGATACTGATATATTTCCCAGCTCTGATGTTTACTAAAATAAGATGTGTCAAACATGTGATGCAATAAAAATATTTATCTTTTAATTAAATTTAAATTAAAGGGATCCAAGTGTGTTTTAGTGCCATTTAAAGGGTCTTAAGCATATCTTGATGATTACCAAGATAATATTGTGAATTGCAAGTATTTTGTCCAGGATAATGGTAACATGAAATTATCATATTATCCCATGCTTATAAAATTTAAGTATTTTTTAACATTTAAACCACAAAATTGTTTGTCGAAGGTGCTCCACAGCAACTAGAGCTTCTGGCTTGTGGCTTGTCTTATTTTGATAAACCAGTTAACCACCTGAAAACCTACAATGTGTGGATAGGGTGAATGCAAATTTAGTGTGTGTACAGTATCACGAGAATGCAACAGTTGCCTTAACACTGCTATAGACAAGAAGCCTCCTGTTATAATCTGGATGACAGACTTACAGTAAAACTAAATATAAATATATAATGATCATCAGGTGTAACACTGTTTTCTGACTCAAAGAGGGAGGCAGGTAGGGTCAGTCACCTGCAAATTTTTCAAAGCAATTCAATTGTCATTTTTTGTTACAAAAGTGACATGACCTTTAAGTGTCTGTAGTGACTACACTTTTTTTTTCAGTACGCTGATGTCCTGTTATCTCACATCATTGATCAGTTTCTTTCATTTACTCCAGGGACTGGAAGAAAAACTGGGATTTTAAATCAGGACAGAAGTTTCTCACCTACAGTCTCTGTAATGTAAGAATGCTCACTGCAACATGTTAACACAGCTACTGCTTTCAAAAAGGTGAATACAAACAATTTAATTGATGAACCACAGTATTGAACTTCACACTTATGAGACAGAGTAACTATAAAATATGTATTTAGCAAGTAAATCATCAATGCATTGTTTCATTGACTCATGCTGCATCTTACACTACAATACCTGATTAAAAAAAAGAATAATACTGTACATAGAATATTAAAGGAAGAATATAGTATCTCTCTCAGAAGATCAGTCCTAACGTGTTGGCTGATTTTTAATGAACTGATAATTATTCTGTGAGAAGGCAAGGTAAGACAGAAAGCGCAATGATTAATTATTACCATGTCAGTGCTGACATCTCACCTCGAGGAGAAAAAAAAAGCTCAGCTGAAACAAAAAAGACATCTCGCTCTTAAAATAGAATTCCTTTCACTTCCTGGGGTTAGTTTGAAGTTTAACTGCATTTCCCACTTCAGTAATATTTATAGTAATTATGATAGGATGGTAAAATGTGAATACAAAGTTATGAGGTGACATAAAACACAGTGGCCTTGTGGCAGCCATGTAATAGATCACATTTGTGTTTAAAGACACACACACAAGAAAACCTTAACCGTCTGTATCCTGTCATTAACTGGGTTGTTATTACAAAACTGTTCTGCAACCACGTAATGCACATTTCCTGGATTGTTTGTTGGGGATCAGTCATCAAGAACCTCAAAGCCTGCACGCACAATTGTCGCCACAAAAGTTTAATAAAGACACTGTTAGAATGTTTGAAAAGTGGAAACCATATTCCTAATGCACACCTATAAGCTGACAAGCTCTATGATGTTAGGTGTAGTTAAACATCCAAACTGCCCAGGGCGATAACACAATAGATAGCATAGCAGCCATGACAGCTGACAATGCTTCAAATGTTGCTGCAACAAAGCTGCATATAGTAAAACATGGATGCTTCACACACATCTTCAACCCGGCAACTCAGAAGATCTAAACATTTAGTACAGTTTCAAGGTGGACACCCAAGATTAGTGTCACCAGTTCAGTATGTGTCCAACATCTCCCATTCTGTTCCTGAGATATGGTGTTAAATACTGGCCTGACAAGAGTTTCTTATGATGTCACAGTAAAGTTGATCTTTGGACTTTTGGATATAAAATGTCACTGATTCATCATTTTATTCCGTTAAACATTTGTGTCAAATTACGTCCAAATTAATGATTCTTCAGTCATGGCCAAAAACATGTTTTGTGAGGTCACAGTGACCTTGATCTTTGGCTTTTGACCACCAAATTCTAATCAATTCATCGTTTAGTCCAAGTGGATGATTTTGCCAAATTTGAGGGAGTTCCATTGAGTTGTTCTTGAGATATCGCGTTGAGAAGAATGACTTGGACAGAAGGTCACAGTGACCTTGCGCTTTAACCATTGACTACCAATATCTAATCAGTTCATTGTTGAGTCCAAGGGGACATTCGAGCCAAATTTGAAGGAATTCCCTCAAGGTGTTGTGAGAAGTCGTGTTAATGAAAATAAGACAGATGCGAGGTCATATTGACCTTGATCTTTGACCTTAAACTACCAAAAATTGTCATTTTGTCCGTGGCTGTTTCTGCCAAATTTAAGGGAAGTTCCATCAAGGCATTCTTGAGATATCACATTGATGACAATGACATGGACAGAAGGTCACAGTGACCTTTGACCACCTATATCCAATTCATCGTTGAGTCCAAGTGGATGTTTGTGCCAAATTTGAAGAAATTCCCTCAAGGTGTTCTTGAGATACAGCGTTCACAAGAGTGGTACGTACAGATGAACTGATGGACAACACCAAAAACATAATGCCTCCAGCCACGGTTATCGCCAGTGCAGAAGTATAAAAAAAAGTAAATCAAAGCCATACTTCAAAATATCAAAAATATATCTTAATTTTTCTCTCACACTGTTATATTATATCTTGCCTTCATTTCTGCCATTTTCTGAACCTTGCACCTATGTAGTGTGCGTAGAATTACTCTACTTAAACTTTGCAAAATCTGACATACAGTAATTGTCACTGTTTTAACAATTAAACATTTTGGAGTTTACTATCTTGATTTAAACTAAAATTATGCATTCGACGAGATGAGTTTCAATTACTTGCTGCCACAGTCTGCTCACTGATAATGCATTAATATTTGTGTAACTAAAGCCTCGCTATGCACTGTATGATGAGGTAATTTGAGATCGGCATTCAGCTGCAATGTGTGCCAAGAACAGGCGGGTTTTCATTCCAGCCACAGATTACACCAGGTGTTTTCACTAATTAGCAAACCTCCCAAACTAATCATGGAGATCACCTGCTGTACTCCTCAACTGTAATGAGAACAAGCAAACTGCTGGTCTTCCACAGCTAATGAATAATCACAGATAGTGATGTGATCAACAAAATGTCTTGAGAAGCAGCTAGCTGAAAGGAATTCAGTGTATGACTTAATGGGATTCATTTGGTTTGTAATTACTTACACTAGGTCATAATGAGGTTTGATTCCTTATTTTACTGATTCTTACTTCGACTGTACAGGATATGAGGTGTCATTCTTTCACTATAAACTGCATTGGACCTAATCAGTATCAGGAGAGTATATCCTCAGTGCAACCAAAGATTTTATTTCCTCTTTAAAAGTCAGTGATTCAGCCAGAGCAGGTACTTGTAAATGAAGAATACCTACATAAAAGTGCTGCTTGACTGGGTCTGTTAAACTTTCCTCTAATATGAGATGCCATTTGCCATAATTATCCAGCTTGCAAGGGGAGGGAGGGAAGGGGGGAGACCTTTATTGACTGGAGCAGGTGAGCATTAATAAGAACTTCTTCTGTCGGTGCATGTCTGTGTGGGTGTGTGTAGGCGTTGGTGTTGATGAACAAGAGAATGAGAGTGCGATATAATGTGTGAGGCCATTGCATACAATAAGCATTGGCTTAGAAGCAGGGCTCGAGGTTGTCGGTGGTAATTAGTGTATATGTTAAGTGATTGCTGAGGGCATGGCTAATTGCTTCACCAGCTCGCAGGATTGTTGATGGACCTTTTTCCTTCCACCACTTCAAGTTCTATAGTTAATTCAGGAAAAGGCAAGCAAATAACAGGCCTCACAATTTTAGGTGCATATTTGTTTAAAAAAAAAAAAAATCTAGGGAGTTCATGATTAGATTTTTTTGTGGTGGTGCGATTTTAATCAGCAAAAGCAGATGGCAGCAGCATTAATGAATATGGAACCAAGTGTGTATGTAGGTGTATCGCTGTGTGCTGCTGATGTCACAGTACTTACGGAGACTGTTTACTGTGACTCTGGTTTGTATGTTCTCGTAGTGCTGGCCAAGTCCAATGTCATCCGTATGTTCTGAGGCAGGATGGCGGATAACATGTGCAAGAGCTCTGGAAAGATGAAGAACAATCTTAGAGAGGACATTTTCAGTAAATAACAACTACAGATTCTGTGCACTCCAGCGTTCGCTAACAAGCCTTCCTAAATGACAAAGTAAAGCGTTTGTGTCCTCTGAAATAACCCATGTGACAGTTTGAAAAACAAAAAGGAGCTTTTTTTTTATCTGCCACCTCAAAGTTTACAGAGGTGTATTTGGTTAAGGTTAGGAAAGATAACCTTCATGGTAAACAGAATACAACTCTGACTGTTTTTAGGAGACAAGAAAACAAAATGTGGTCTCTGGTGTCAGAGTCACATGCTTCGTAAGGCCCGATCACACAGAAAGCATTTTGCAGGTTGCTAAACGTGAGGCAGTAATCAGTATCTAGTTACCAAAATGGACAGGCAGAGGGTACTTGCTCCAGCTCTGGTTGAGGGTGAGAGGCTATAAGCAAATAGTTTGTCAGGCACAGGGAAACGGAGATCTGTGTGGGTACATGAGACCCTAAAAAAGAGGCTGGATCATGGGGAGTACCGCCAGTTGGTCCAGGAGCTTCTCCTCCATGATGGCCGTTTTCAGGCACATTTTAGGCTATTCTGAAGCGGTTTGACAACCTATTGGTTACCATTGGGTTGTATAGCTCTGGGTATCCAGCAATCACTACCACCAGTTTCTCCTCCATTGTTTACCAACTGTAAACTTGTTGTCATGACCACCACAGAAGGCCCGCCTCTCAAATCATCTGATTGGATAATGGGAAAAAAGTTGATGGAAAAAGAGATGACATGGAGCGTTTCAACTCTGAGTTGAAGTTTTTTCAACTCCAGGAGTTCAGAGCGCTCCGGCAAAAACGCCATGCACCTAGAGCGCAGAAAAGCGAGGCGCTTCGCAATACAAAAACAGTGAGCAAAAAGCTTCATTCTCATTAAAAACAATTACAAATGTCGCCTCCAGCAGCTAAAACGCGTCTGTGTGATCAGGGCGTAAGGCAGTCAGTGGTTTAGGTTGGTTAGAATTAAAGTAGCAAATGCTGCAACATCCTGACACTTAGTCCTTAAGGCCTTTACACATTAGGAGCGTTACAAGTAAATGACACGAAAATGCCAAATACTCGCATATTAATATTTTGCATCAAGACTATTCAAACTGGCAGCATTGTGAATTTGGAATAGTTGCAACACTTGTTCACGAGAAGATTTGAGAGTGAATAAATTTGCTGGCAGCGATGCAAATTTGCGACAATACCGAGACTGTATTAACCTCGAGCTGCGACTGGCAGTCTTTGTGAGGTAAGTTGCAGTATTAGTTATTTTATCGAGTTTTGTTTTAGTGGAAAGCTCTGAGTGAATTTGAGTTACCGGCAAAAGGTAAGAACGCTGGCCTGAGATGCACTGCCTGTTAAGGTTGAAATGAATTATAAGTTTTCTGTCTTGGTTCAGACTACTGAGCCTCCGTGTTGTGGTTTCCTAATTCACAAGTGCAGTGTGATTGGTTAATGCCTCTATTTGCAGTGCGGAAACTCAGAAAACTCAAACTTACGTTGCTTTTTCGCAGCGCAATATTTGCCTTCTTTGTGAAAGTACTCATAACAGAAACAACTGTTTAATAAAAAAAAATATATATTGATATGCAAATTAATCGTAAAAAAACAAAAGCCCCAAGTGTATAAAGGCCTGTCAGTATGGGTCAAACTCCAATAACACTGGATCCTACATTTCCCATAATGCAACCCCCCTTGCAACGACCCTTGATTTATGCATCTCAAGTTCATAAGACAGGATTTCTGTTAAAAAAATGTATCAGCCCCAGTTCAACATTTTTCAGACTGCAGGACGCAGCTCCCTCCAAAGCCACAGCAAACATTATACAAAGTGTTTCCACAGCCTGCTGAGTGACACTCCTCGTGAATGCTCCTTCAAAAGCTTGACTCTAGACCTGCCTGCACTCTTGCACTCACACACACATTCATATTGAAACCATGTTATTTTCTTGGGTAAGAGATGTCAGGGGACATAATTACTGAATAGTTTCTTATACCAGAGGGGTTGCTAGTGGCTGTTGGTAAGCCTGTAACAGCGATGGTGGCTGGAAAACTGAGCAAACCATGGTATTCAGATGAGGTTGCATACCAAGTCAGTTGGGCCAGCCACTGCAGTTTAACCCGAGCAGATACAGTGTGCTGTAGATATAAGGCTGGGTCATACCGTCCAGTATCTGCTCTTTGCTCGGGGGGATTGTAGGATTTAAAGGCAGCTTTCTGTATGTTATGTCAGGGATAGATGAAGGCGTTGCCTGTCAGAAGGCTCAGTAGTTTTATGGCAGCCTGATACCCACTGCAGGGCCTAATGAACGGTGAAAACATAATTCAACATGAATACTGGGCCTCCATAGGAATGCTTACCCAACATTTGGCAAATTTTCTAGTGTACTAATAACTGCCGGCAATGCTGTTAGGTGCGGTTGGGGGTGACCAAAAGTGTGCTGTGTCACACGTACACCTACTGTCAGCCAACAGTGACGTCAAAGAGTGCCAACCCAAACCCTGAGTGTACTTCGAGCGCAGACAGGTGAGAACTTTAACCACTGGATGTCAGCAAAAACAGACTGTCAACTGGTGTCCATTTTTTTTAAGTCACTTGGAAACCGCTTTTCTGAATTAACCTTCGAAAACTGTAAGTGCACTGAACACTATGTCCAGGGCCTGTTTACTTCAAAATCTTTATGGTACAAGTTCAGCACAAGTACTATAGTCTATATTTAAAATTCTATGCTCCATCAAAATCCATGTAAATTAGGGTGTAGCCTACAAGTTAACTCATTATACATGTTCAACAACATTCAAGAAAAAATATATCTGTAGTATAATTGCCTCATGCTTTAGTGTCATTTTAGCCTATTCGTTTTAAAGGATGGAAACTGGGCTGCTACAGGCTGATACTCTTTCACACAATGACAATGACGACACACTCTCCTCAGTGCAGACATTGTTCAGCCCAAAATCAGTCTCTTGAGTAGGCTGCAAGAGTAATAAGCCTCTTTGTGTACGTATGTGAAGTGTGTTTGAGGAAAGATTTAGAGAAAGAGAGAGAGTGAAAGAGTGTGTCTGTGTGTGTACTAACTATCTGTGAGTGTTTGATGCTCAAGCATGTCTGCCGTATGCAGATTTGGGCACTTTTCCAAACACTGTAGTACATTTTAAAAACAAAAGTGGTGCCTTTATGACAAACTGTGGATGTACATGTTGCAGATGGTTTTGATGTGTTACAGAATTTGATCTGGAGATTTAAAAAAGAAAAAGATGTTTTTACCAAAATGGTGCAACACAGTGGACCTTGTGCCTGGGCTCAATTGTGACATACTGAAAAGAAATAGACATATTTTTTTGCCAAACCACAATAGATTCAAGCTTTTTTGTGTCAACCATCACTTTCTGAGTTATATTCGGGCAGAAAATTCAGTTGTCTCCTGAGCAGATACACATGCATATCACAATTCTTTTTAAATTAAAGCCTGAGGCCAAGGGCAATGTAATAAACATAAAAAGACACTTTTATTTGTAACACTGACAAAATGTGCTTGTGATTTACTGTTATGTAGACAGTAACGAGGTTGAGTGTCATCAGACTTGTCTCTGGAGAAATTGATGTCAAATTGAACTGAATCAATTTCCCTAATCCCTGGCTGATATAAATTTGAACGCCTTTTCCAATGTGTTACAGTTTTAATTACAAAATAACTTGTTGCTTTGTGACTTTTTGATAAAATTGTAGTGTTTCACACACAGAGGGGAGTGTGAGGAGCAAATAACTCTCTGAAACGAGAGTGAAAAATTGTAAACTGATGACCTACCTTGACATATTTTCTCGGTGCGGACGGTGCGTCTTTTCCAAACCGAGCTTGGTGAAAATTCCTATCAGTGCCATTATGGCCACGACCCCGCATATGACATACACAATCAGATTGGTTTTATCCTTGGCGGCGTCCAGTGCCACGTCCACTTTTGGCGGCGTTCCTCCTGTCATCATCCACGGCGGGGTGTCGTAGTTCTTACAGGTGGTCTGGTCCAGCCGGGAGCTTTTAAACGCGCAGCAGAACCTGAAGCCACAGGTGCCGCAGCAGTACAGGTAGCTGCCCGTCCTGCACACGAACGGCGGATCCCACTGGCCCATCACGTCGTAGTAACCGCGGCAATTGTCCTCCATGTGCGGGGTCTCCGTGACTGCGATCTCCCCATCCTTTGAGTCGTTAAACCCGGTCACCAGCATGAAGTCGTCGACGGTCTGACCCGGCTCGCCCTCTGCATCGCACACCATAACTTTCACCAGAAAGTACCCGAGCAGCAGCTCCGTGCCCCGCATCGTTGCTCACTTTTTATCCCGCACTTGACGCGCTGAGAAGCTCACAAGCCCGGACGCATCTTCCGAGGAGACGAGACACAGCCATGCGTAAATGTGTTTAGGCTGATTCCAACTTCCATGCGTAAAAGCACAGTGCGCCCCTGTACTTTTCTCTCCTTGTTATTGAACAAAGACAGTTCAAGCTCTTTCCAAAGGGGCAGCCTACTGTAGTGAACAGTTGGAGAGGGGCAGCATCACTGAAGCGGTGCACCTGACTGTGCTGGAGGGTGTCAGACACCTCTTAGGCTGCTTCACTCCACAGAGCCGGTCACAGATACACAGAGAGAGAGAGAGAGGGAGAGAGGGTTAGGGTGAGAGCCATCGCAAAGTAGAAGAGACCCGATGAGTGAGTGAATCAGCGGGAGAGAAAGGAAAGAGCCAATGAGAGGGAGAGAGCTGTGCGCAGTAGCTCTAATTACAATCCTTACAGCCAGTCATTATTGTGTGGAGTCTTAAAATTGTCTGTAATGGCACAATCCGCGATCCAGATCACCCCAACACCAAAATTCAAAACACAGAACTGGAAGCTGCAGTCACTTCATAAGTGATTTAAAGTGCTGTGATGCAGGCGCTTGATAGACACACTGAAGTCCAAGTTATTGATGATATGTTTAAACATTTGTTTTTGCATGGGAGTAAAGACATACACAAAACACAAAATGCTGTTTTTTAAGGTAAAAGTCCACCTGCACAAATGAACATTTATGCAGGTTAAATGCACAGATGGCTCATGACAAGACATTGATGTGTCTGTTATTATTATTCAAATATATTCTGTGTTTTCATGCCTGCTTGGGCTTAAGGAAAGTGATGATGATTTCTGTGCTGAACTTCAATTAAAAGCCTAGGTCCTTTTACTGGCCTGGTGTGGCTACACATTTTGACAAATAAAGGCCTGTCCTAATTAGAGGCCTGGTCTGGTTGCCAAGCAGTTCATTTTTATAGAAGTTCTTTGGATGTATGAAAGTGGGTTGTGGCTACTTCAAATTATGTGTCAATTCCAATTATCCTGTAAGTCTTTCATATTTCTTTAGTCTGTAAGGGTACTCAGATCAAAAGAATCAAGAGTTTTTCATAAAAATGAATCCAAGTTGTGAGAATTGTTTAACAGTGGTGTTGTGTCGGTTTGCCGAGTGCTGTAATCCTCAAGTGTCGTAAGTCACTGTCTTTCAGATGTGCTGTATGCTGGAGCTAGATCAAGTGAATGATTCAGAATTGATTTATTATTCGAAGCCTAATTTTTATACAAGTAATATTCATACTGGTTTAAATAAGCAATTTGATTGTATGTCCTGATCTTTGCTGAGCAACAGTTTTGTGTGAAAGGAATTTAAGAAAGGCCTGTCTCATGTATTTTTTTCTGCTTTACTTGAGTTTTTCAATGGTACTTTAAACCTCTACTCCACTACAATTCAGAGGGAAATATAATACTTTTTGCTGCACTACTTTTATTGACACTAATAGTTCTTAGTTTTACATTAAAAAGCATATGACATGTTTTATGATATGGTGCAGTATTAAAATGGTCTTACATGTATGTGTCAGTGACATAAAATGTGTATAATCATATAACACTTTAAAAGGAACCATTCTGCGTATTGGGTATGTTTACTTTTGATACTTTAAAGGGCCAGTGTGTAATATTTGGCATGGTTTATTGTCAATCTGAATCTGAATATGAATATTCTACCCATTAATATGTTTATATAAGTGTATAATCGCTATAAAATAAAATTTGTTTGGTTTTCGTAGCCTTATAATTATGCTTTTATATATATACAGTACAGGCCAAAAGTTTGGACACACCTTCTCATTCAATGCGTTTTCTTTATTTTCATGACTATTTACATTGTAGATTCTCACTGAAGGCATCAAAACTATGAATGAACACATGTGGAGTTATGTACTTAACAAAAAAAGGTGAAATAACTGAAAACATGTTTTATATTCTAGTTTCTTCAAAATAGCCACCCTTTGCTCTGATTACTGCTTTGCACACTCTTGGCATTCTCTCCATGAGCTTCAAGAGGTAGTCACCTGAAATGGTTTCCACTTCACAGGTGTGCCTTATCAGGGTTAATTAGTGGAATTTCTTGCTTTATCAATGGGGTTGGGACCATCAGTTGTGTTGTGCGGAAGTCAGGTTAATACACAGCCGACAGCCCTATTGGACAACTGTTAAAATTCATATTATGGCAAGAACCAATCAGCTAACTAAAGAAAAACGAGTGGCCATCATTACTTTAAGAAATGAAGGTCAGTCAGTCCGGAAAATTGCAAAAACTTTAAATGTGTCCCCAAGTGGAGTCGCAAAAACCATCAAGCGCTAACTGGCACACATGAGGACCAACCCAGGAAAGGAAGACCAAGAGTCACCTCTGCTTCTGAGGATAAGTTCATCCGAGTCACCAGCCTCAGAAATAGCAAGTTAACAGCAGCTCAGATCAGAGACCAGATGAATGCCACACAGAGTTCTAGCAGCAGACCCATCTCTAGAACAACTGTTAAGAGGAGACTGCGCCAATCAGGCCTTCATGGTCAAATAGCTGCTAGGAAACCACTGCTAAGGAGAGGCAACAAGCAGAAGAGATTTGTTTGGGCCAAGAAACACAAGGAATGGACATTAGACCAGTGGAAATCTGTGCTTTGGTCTGATGAGTCCAAATTTGAGATCTTTGGTTCCAGCCGCCATGTCTTTGTGAGACGCAGAAAAGGTGAACGGATGGATTCCACATGCCTGGTTCCCACTGTGAAGCATGGAGGAGGAGGTGTGATGGTGTGGGGGTGTTTTGCTGGTGACACTGTTGGGGATTTATTCAAAATTGAAGGCACACTGAACCAGCATGGCTACCACAGCATCCTGCAGCGACATGCCATCCCATCCGGTTTGCGTTTAGTTGGACGATCATTTATTTTTCAACAGGACAATGACCCCAAACACACCTCCAGGCTGTGTAAGGGCTATTTGACCAAGAAGGAGAGTGATGGAGTGCTGCGGCAGATGACCTGGCCTCCACAGTCACCGGACCTGAACCCAATCAAGATGGTTTGGGGTGAGCTGGACCGCAGAGTGAAGGCAAAGGGGCCAACAAGTGCTAAACACCTCTGGGAACTCCTTCAAGACTGTTGGAAAACCATTTCAGGTGACTACCTCTTGAAGCTCATGGAGAGAATGCCAAGAGTGTGCAAAGCAGTAATCAGAGCAAAGGGTGGCTATTTTGAAGAAACTAGAATATAAAACATGTTTTCAGTTATTTCACCTTTTTTTGTTAAGTACATAACTCCACATGTGTTCATTCATAGTTTTGATGCCTTCAGTGAGAATCTACAATGTAAATAGTCATGAAAATAAAGAAAACGCATTGAATGAGAAGGTGTGTCCAAACTTTTGGCCTGTACTGTATATATAGCGGGCGGCATGGAGCTGTGGTGGTTAGCACTCTCGCCTCACAGCAAGAGGGTTGCCGGTTTGATCCCGGGCGTGGGAGCCCTTCTGTGCGGAGTTTGCATGTTCTCCCCGTGTCAGCGTGGGTTCTCTCCGGACACTCCGGCTTCCTCCCACAGTCCAAAGACATGCAGATTGGGGACTAGGTTAATTGATAACTCTAAATTGTCCGTAGGTGTGAATGTGAGCGTGAATGGTTGTTTGTCTCTATGTGTCAGCCCTGCGATAGTCTGGCGACCTGTCCAGGGTGTACCCTGCCTCTCACCCGATGTCAGCTGGGATAGGCTCCAGCCCCCCCGTGACCCTCAAGAGGATGAAGCGGTTAGAAGATGAATGAATGAATGAATGAATGAATATATATATAGCAAGGGCCTTGCTTTAGAGAGGTCGCCATCTTGCGCCGCCATGTATGTACGGCAGACCGAGTGGACAATCCAGCCAGCCAGAGAACGCGTTTCGCGTGTATAAATGAACCAAGGAAGACAGCGGAAGGAAGGAAGAAGGAGGAGGAAACAGCAGAGAGTGTTAGTAGTTCGTCGATAGAGAGTAGTGAAAAGTTTTTTTAGTTATAAAGTTTGCGAATGGACCACACTTTCCACGCAACAGGAGAGAATGAACCCAAACCGTCATCTGCGAGGAAAAGAAAACGCAACTTCACTCCTTGTGATGCACTCTCTGAGGCGCTTTTCCTCCTGATGATATATCTCCCCAACGATAGTAGCACCGAATCCCATTCTGTGCATTCAGCCTCTCTTCTCGCCCGCTCAGCATCAAACACATGGAGTTCCTCATCTGTGTGCTCCGGCTCAAACAGGTATGGCTCTGGATCTGTGTCCGCTACAAGAAACTCTTCAAAATCGCGTTCAAAGTCGTCCATTGCAGCTACTATAGTCCAGAGATATTGCTAGGCTAAATAAACAGCTAAGCTCTGTTTAGAGGCTACGCTGTCAGTCAGTGTGCGGGCTGGAGATCGGTGGAGCAGAGAGGGGAGGGGGGTCCCCACTTAGCATGGTAAACGAGTATGTGTGTATGAAGTGTGTGTGTGTTACGCTAGAAGAGTCAGAGTTTGGGACGGAGTCTTTTACCCCCTGGAGTGTTACCGGAGTTTCTGGAGTGCTGAAATAAACTGGCTTTTTTCCCCGAACGCTCCTCTGGTCTCCTGCTCGTGAGGGATTCATTACAATATTGTGACATGGTTTAGATTTCTAAATAAATATTCACCTCGTCGCTAGATAGACCTACTCCTGTAAAACTCATGCGCAAGGCTTTTTGTCCCTATGAGGCCGCCGTCATTTACCCGACGGGAGGGGTGAGCGAGTGAGCCCTGCAATCTGAATTTGACCACTGATGTCACTGTTTTGTGTTAGACAAAAGCACCTTTGCAGCGGTATGAATACACTGCAAGGTGGCATCAATTCATAATGCCACCGAGGACCACCATACTGCTGCAAAAGGTGCATCAGTTTGTAACGCCACCAGACAGTGCCAGTTTGTAATGGCGCTGGAAACAATGTCATATAAGGAGCTGTAGGGCAGGCAGGGGAGATGGATGGGTTCAGCAAACCTTAAACTTTCACCTGGGAGGCCGTTGTTCACTTCCTGTGTGAATGTTAAGCCAAACCATGATGTTTTTTTTTTATCTAAACCTAAACCACATGCTTTTGTAGCACAATGAAATAGACATAAATATGAGGTGTTTTACCGAAGTTTATTTTGAAAAAGACTGTATGCATCTAACGACCAAAAATTGTACATTTCCTGTCAAAACTGAAGTGTATTTTAACATTGTAACAAGCGTAAGT